GAGACGGGACAGGCTGGAGACAAACTGGCCCCTGTGCTCCCAGGAGCAGCCCAAGCTGGCCCATCCTCTGTAGCATTGGCTGAAGTCTAAGGGCTTCCAGGTTCCAAGACTCCAAGGGGGGAAAAGTGTCTGCTTCCTCCGGGAAGGACTCTACGCCTTCTTCCAGAAACTTGCCTTGCCGCTTGGGAATCCTTGGGAATTCCCAGACTCAGAATCAAAGGAAGGGCTTATGCAAACAGTAAGTGAAAAACAAACAAACAAACAAACAAACCACGTATATCTAGCCACCTAGAAAGATGCATGGAGGAGTCATGATGCATTTAGACCAATTTCCTAACATCCTATATCAATTTTAATTGGGTCCTGGGCTCCTAAAGCTAACGTGGAACCTTCCCAATCCCCAAATAGGCAAAGGTGACAGGCAGGGAGATGAAGACTCTGGTTGGCTGCTTTCCAGTGGCTGAGGAGGGACTTGACTCAAAGTCATTCACGTGGCTTTTGAACTTGAGTGGATACTATTGGACAAGAATGCCTTTGACCTTGGATGGAGTGTTGGTCACAATGACTGTTGTTTGCATTGTGTGTGTGTTTAATTTGACAGGGAGAGTATGTGTGCTCTCGTCCACTGGTTTGGTCCCCAAATGCCTGCGATGGCCTTGAGCTGTGAACTGAATGAAGAAGGGAGCCGGGCACTGCATCCAGATCTCTCCTTGATTGCAGGGACTCAATCACTTGGCCATCATCACTGCCTCCCTCTGTGTAAATAGCAGGTCCCTGGAGTCAGAGTGCAGCCAGGCAGCAATAACCACAGGTTATGACCTGTACATGCCCACATGACCTCCTTCCACAAGCTTCTGGAATTAACATTCCTCATGAAAATTGAGACCTGAGCACTTGGACCATCTTTTAATCTTCAAATTCCATCATAGGGGCCCAGCGTGATGGCGTAGTGGTTAAGGTCCTCGCCTTGCAAACACTGGGATCCCATATGGGCACTGGTTCTAATCCTGGCAGCCCTGGTTCCCATCCAGCTCCCTGCCTGTGGCCTGGGAAAGCAGTTGAGGATGACCCAAAACCTTGGAACCCTGCAGCTGCATAGGAGACCTGGAAGAAATCCCTGGCTCTTGGCTTTGGATTGGCTCAGCTCTAGCCATTGCAGCCGCTTGGGGAGTGAATCATCGACGGAAGATCTTCCTCTCTGTCTCTCCTCTCTTTATATCCACCTTTCCAATGAAAAATAAAATAAATCTTAAAACAACAACAACAAATTCCATCATAGAAGAGTGTAGAGGAAATCTCTTTGATTGAGAAAGCTATTTCTTCTCACATCCCATGTGAGTTTTACAAAGTTTCCCTTCTTGAATGCAGGTATATCCATCCCCACTTTTCAGTCCCAAGAGATTTCATAATGTCCTGGAATTTACATTTGTCTCTTACTATCCACGATGAGGGAACCAGGGCAGGTGGCATAGATGTCCCTTTGGTGGAGGACACAAAAGCACTTGGAAGTGTGAGTGCCAGAGAAGACTGCACCAGTATTGGTTGAGAATCCCGTGCTGTCGCAGGTATCAAAATCACCTCCTTTCTTAAGGTGCTCAATGGGTCCTCCCTTGTTTATGCATTCACCCATTGGTCAGTGTGGGGGATGCTTCTACCCTTTGGCCATTGTTAACAATACTGCCACAGATGTTAGTACGTCGGCATATTCTTTGAGATCCATACAGCCGGCTCTCCATCTCCACAGAAAGTCTGTTTGGCACTGTAATAACTGAATTACACGGAGGAGCGAAGTCTGCATTTGTATTGAACCTGTAGAGATCTTTTTTCCTGCCTCTTGTTTTCTAAACAATATAGTGAAATAAATATCTATATAGTGTATTTACATTGTATTAGATATTATGAGTCATTGAGAGGTGATTTAAAGCCCACAGAAGGATGGGCATGGCTCTTGTTCAAAGATTTATTTATTGGAAAGGCAAAGTGACACATACAGAGAGGCTGCAAGAAAATACCTCTTCTTTCCAGCAGCTAGTTCACTCCCTGAGTGGCAGGCAGCCAGACCTTCCAACGCGTTCTCCCGTGTGGATGGCAGGGACTGGAGTACTTGACCGATCACCTGCTGCTTTCCCAGGCACATTAACAGGTTCAGAAGCAGGGCAAGTGGGACTTGAACTGGCGCTCTGCTATGGAATGTCAGCATCACTAGCCTTGGGTTGACCTGCTGCCGCAGTGATGCCAGCCTTGTGCCTAGCACCACATCCTTTCATCTAAAGACGTGGGCCTCCACAGACCCTGATATTCCCAGGTGATCCACCTGCCATGGATACCAGGGGATGGTTGCTTTTTGCTGAATCTGCTTGTGAGCCCTCCAGCCCATTGGCCCACAGCTGCCAGGCATTGTCCAATCACATCACACTGCTGCTGACAATGCTTTGCCACCTTGCCATTAGGCTGGAACCCCTACCAAACTTCCCAGGGCCCTGAGCTCTGGCCTACTTAATTCTGCCCTGCCCTACCTTTCCCTCAGCTCCTGCCGTCCCACCCTTCTCCCTGTCCTTCCAAGGCACCACGTTCCTTTTAGATTTCAACATGGCACCTGCTTCTCCCTTGACCCTTCATGTCCCACGAATTCCTGGTTTGTGCTGGCTCCAGGCTGGGCCATCTCTTCTTGTCTCCCTCATTTATTTTGTCTTAAACCTGTTTCTTAACATCTCTTATCTTCCTTCTGATTCATCCCCCCAGCCCCACTCCCCCTGATTCTTCTTCACTTCCACCCCCCGTTGTCACTCATGAGACTGTTCTCAAGCAGCCTGGCCAATCCAGGCTGTGTCATTCCTGCTGTGATAAAGACTGACAGTGACCTGCACTTGCTATGCAAATCACCTGTACCCACCATGTGCACACACATCACCTATACCCGCACAGTCCTCAACGCATACCCATGGTCATGCCTTACTGTGAAGCCACGGTCAGGAAACGCTCAGTTCTTCCTCAATTGGATGCGTGAACCAATGGGACAGAAAACATCAGAAAGACCAGAGTTTTTTGAGTAAACACTGCTTTGCGGAATGGCCCCCAGCCGGCTATGCCTCTAAGACTTAAGCCCTTGGGGCTACTTAGAAGATATAGTCTTTATTTTAATGTAGATTTTGAAGATTTATTTATGTGTTGTTTGAAAGGCGCACATTTACAGAGAGGAGGAGTAACAGAGAAAGGTCCTCCATCCACCCATTCACTCTCCAAATGGCTGCAAATGGTCAGAGCTAGGAGCTTCTTCCGGGTCTCCACGTGGGTGCAGGGCCCCAAACGCTTTGGGCCGTCCTCAACTGCTTTCCCAGGCCATCAGCAGGGAGCTGGATCAGGAGCAAAGCAGTCAGGATTCAAACTGGCACCCATATGGGATGCCAGACTGCAGGTAGAGAATTAGCCTGCTAGTAGATTATTTTTTTAAGTCCACTGTGCTTTGAACACAGGTTCCCCACTCCACAAACGCCCATGCTTGGCATTGGCCATCTCTTGCCCAGTTAGACCGAGTGGTGATGGTGAGGGGTTCTGCCGACCCAGTCAGCCTTGGGAGGCGCTGCCATTCACCCATAGGAATCTCTGGGGTCCATCCCTGGTGCAGGATGCAGGGCGCGGGGCTTGCCTCCGCACTTGCTCTCATCCGGCAACACTGGGGCCCACGAAGCTCGGAGGCCGCTGGGGCAGCGCTCCTCGCCCCGCCCTTGGGCTTCATTATCTCCGTTTCCTTGTCAGACCCGCCGCGAACTTGGCAGGCCCTGCACCACGTTCGGGAACACTTTGTGCCCAGCGCCCGCCCACCCTCCGGGCCCTCCTCCCTCCTGCCGGCGCCGCCCAGTCCCGCCTAGCCCAGTAAGGTTAGGGTCTCCCTGGGTGGTGGTGGCGGGAAGGGGTGGGGCAGGTCCCAGGTGGTCGCTCCTAGCAGGCAGCCCGGGTTCCCTTTTATAATACGTTTATTCTGAGTTCCCGGGTGTATGCTATGGTGGCGCGGGGGTGTAGGGGGGACAGATCCTTCCAGGGGCTCCGCGTCCAGACGTGGGTCACATCAAGCGCGGAATCAAAAAGGTTTAGAGACGCTGAGGCCCATTTTTAAAACAAAGCTCAATTATTCGCGCTTGGAGACTTGTTTACGCCACTCCAGTGTCAGGTCTCCCGGCTCTGCCGACAGAGAGTACCCAAAGGAGATGCTTTGGGATGGAGAAGAAACCAACGCAGGAGTCCTTAGACTCCTGATGGGCCCCTGTCTTGGTTGCGTGAACTTGGGCAAAAAACGATCCGGGTCTCGGGGTCGCCTACCACCATACGGGATAAGCGCCCGGGTGCTCGGGGACTTGGCGCACGGAGGGGCGCTGTGACCTCACGCCTCCAGAACCCCACCTTCCTTCGGCTCCCCGCTCCGCCCCGCCCTGGAGGCGCCCCGGATTGCACGCGCGGGCGCTGGCTCCAAAGTGCGTCACGGGCACCGGGCGCGCTCCTCCAGCACGGCCAGGGTGAGGCTGGCACACGGCCAGAGCGGGCCGGGCCAGGGTTGGGGGCGGAGGGGGGGTGACGACAGGTCGTCTCCCGGGCTGCGACCCAGGCGTGGAAAGCGCTCCGGTAGCTCGGCCCTGGAGCGCTATTTTGAGCGCTCTTAGTCGGCGGTGGCGGCGGGCAGCGCGCCAGGGCCCGACCTCGCTTAGCGGCCCGGAGTGCGAAGGTGACGCTTTCCCCGCTGGCCGCCCGCGCTTCCTCCGGTGCGGCTGGCAAGCGGGGAGGAAATCTTGGGGAAACTACGAGGATCCTTCCCGGGGCTCCTCGGCCCCGCCCCAGGTCTCCGCCTCCTCTCCTTTGCTTGGGGGAGCCCGGGCTGGGCCCACGCCGCCGCCAGAGAGAGGAGATTCTGCCAGCTCCGGGGCCGGGAGGCGGCGGGAGACAGCTGAGCCGCTTGCCACCCACTCTCCCCGCCATGTGACGCCGCCCCGGGGCCCGCGCCGCGCACCATGCTCCAGCCGGGACACGCGCGCCCACCGCCAGCGCCCCAGCCCGCTCAGCATCCCGGCTTCCGCAGGCAGGTAGAGCCGCCGGGCCAGCTCCTACGCCTCTTCTACTGTACCGTCCTGGTCTGCTCCAGAGAGATCGCCGCGCTCACCGACTTCTCCGGTAAGTGCGCGTCCCCCTAACCCTCGCCATGGGACGCCCAGGTGAACCCTTGATGGCGGGCAACTGCCACGGCCAAGTTGAAGTAAACTTCCCAGTCTTCTTGCCCCGTGTGAGTCCTTGGAGTGTCTGAATGTGTGTGTGTGTGTGTGTGTGTGTGTGTGTGTGTGTGTGTGTGTTGGGGTGGGGCAGCAGAGGAGACCCCGGGCAAGGAAGGGTGTGTGATGTCAAGGCTTCTTGTCCCCCGCCCGCCCGCCTTCTACCCCCTTCACTTCCCATCAGCACTGACCCCCTGTACTGGACGGCGCGCAGTCGCTGGGGGCCCCTGAATGGAGCCGCGTGCCGCGCCCAACGCACAGCTCAGTGCACAAGTTGTGGTCCAGCTGGATTGGTCCCCCACACTGGGGGCATAGTCTGGGGCGCCGCAGCCCGCCTGCGGGCGAATCCGCGTAAGGAGACAAGCCTACAGCACACGGACCCGAAACCCGCACAGGAAAAGAGCAGAGGGAGCCGGCAGAGACCGGCATGTGATGGCTGGCGATGTAGTTGTGAGCAGCCCACGCCACAGACGGAACACCCGGGGCCACGGGTTTGTCGCCGCGGTGGACACTTTACAGAGAATGCCATTGTTCGCCTGCCCACCTGCCTTTTTGCAAGCATAGCCACCACCTAATCAGCCACAGGGCTTTTCTGTTGGGGGTTTCTAGCCCGTGCCATGGCAGGGGATCTCAGGTTGTTCTGGGCTGGTAGAAGTCACTGCCAAGAGTTTCTGAGTTGACTGCCTATTCGAGCACCTGCTGGGATTAGCCACTGCATTTACTTTGGGTACCAACTGTTCTTGCAACTGTAACTGCACCATCTCTCTCTCTCTCTCCTCTCTCTCAGTTTCCCAGCCCAGCCCAGCCCAGCCCAGCCCAAGCAGCAGCTCCTTCTGTCTTCCCCAGGGACTGCCAGGCTATGCACTGGCTAGTTAACAGGGCCAAGTCTCTTGCAATATAAGATGGTAAATGGAGTCAGTCCTTGGTCCTGTTGGAGCAGTAGACTAGTACATGGGGAGGAACACTGGCCAACTCCAAGGTGAGTTGGGTTTCTGGTTCACTTAGAGAGAATGCCATTGTTCACTGAGAGCCTTGGGTCAGAGGTCCTTTGCTTTGAATATTTAATATCAGGACAGGGATCCTGCCTGCAAGACGAAGCCAAGATATGCCTACTTGGCAAGCAAACCGGGGCCCTTAAAATCCAGCATTGCAAGATCAAAACTCTGTGGTAAATATGCGGGGGTGGGGGGGGCGGTGGAGGGAGGAATGCTTCTCATCTTTCAAACGCTATTGACTTATTTTTGTTTTGAATAGAACTTTCTTGGCTGCAAGGAAAGCTCAGAGTTTGCTGAGCTACTCTGTGACTCGGAAAAATCTGAGACCTGGGATCTGACAAGCTCCTGTTTTGTGTGACATCACTGCAACTGAACAAATATTGCTTTAGGCAAATGGCGATGTAACTATTAGGTTGCTTTCAGAAATCGCAGACACAAAGCTGTAAGTCTGCAGGCTACCACCCAAGTTTGTGATTGAATGCATGCAACTATTCAAAGTGGACTTGAACTATCAAGCTGGGAGGCCATATCCTGAGGGAAACGGTGCTAGGACAGGGGCAGGTCTAAGAAATAGGAACGGTAAACGCCGTTCCCTTTTGCTTTCCCCTGTGCAAGCTTTGGGAAGCCGCTGAGTCGGCAGTAGGTGGTGATGGTGCTGGAGCCACCCCTAGCCTGGCCCCGGTTTTCCTGATACATGCTGTTCTCCATGAAGGAAGTGGAAGACCAGGAAGACTTGGGACGATGCTAGCTGGGAGCCCTTTGGGGAGAAGGACAGAAACATCAATGTCCACCCAAACCTCAGACATGCTCAAGTTTTGCAACCTAAGTTCTGCTACAGTATGGGTTAGAACACATTAGAAAAAAAATCTCTAGAATAAAGAAAGATCAGTCTCCCCAAACAGGCTAAATTGACTTAAAGCTTAATGACGTTTTGGGGGAACCCCTTAACCATGTGATGAGCGGCATAAAGGGGGCAGTCTAAGCTCCAAAGCGGCCCATAAAGAGATAGCGGATCCTTCCCTCCCACGCCTTGGTGCTGTTGCTCAGGTCTGGATAGCACTGCTTGGCAATGTAGATGCTAGTCCTCTAAATAAAGTGAACACCGAAAACTGGTGACAAACGGAGCCAACCTGGGGTCTCTCTGCCTTGTGAAGGAGTCGGGGAAGGCCATGGTGCATCCTTGTACAATACACCAGCAGTACAAGATCCCAGCCACTGTCTGTCCAGTATGGGGATCAGCCAGTACAGAGTTCTGAAAAGTCACTTAAGCCCTTTTCTCCTTTGCAACTCTTCTTGGAGCCTTCTCTGGGGCTGTCAGCTGCTGTTGTGTTCCTGGGTCCTGATTTTTTTCCCCCTAAGGATTCCAGCATCAGATCTCACTCTGAATAACCTAGAGGCGGCCTCCTCCGCCCCTACATGCTCATGACTTGTGGCTAATCACCCCCAAATCTGCTAGGAAATAGGCCCCTGAACACCACTCCCCTCCCTCCTCTCTCCATCTCCAAGGTGTTGAGAGTCTGCCAGCGGCCAGTGGAAGGCTATCATCACTGCATTAAAAACACATCTCGGTGAAGGCAAGAGGTTCACGCAAAATTACCATCTCTGATCTTTAATCCTGTACTCAAAATGTGCTTGGCTCGTATCCATTTCCCTCTCCGGAGACAGAATTCTGTTCTTTTGACCATGTTCCCAATTTGAGCATTTGGCTCAAGATATCCAGGTTGATCACTGATCTTTTTTTTCCTTAAGAGAATGGCAACAGTAAAAGTGTAGTGTCCTTATCACCCTCTTGGTTCAGAGAACAAAGGCAGAGGACTGGAGGGGAAGTGAGGGAGGGGTGCTCTTTGGGGACCCCCAATTCTTGCCTTGCCTTGAAGGGTGGTTCTCAAGGTGTCCCTGTGTTTTACTGGGTGGGTTTTCTGCTGAGAGCTGGCTGGCTCTTCATTTTCTAACCCTTCCCTTTCTTTCCTAGTCTTTGCTTTGTTATTTCTCAAAGAGAGTCAAAGGGAACAGCACTGTGTGTAGGAGTGGGGAGGGAGGAAGGAAGGACAGGAAAACTCCCCTGGAATTTTGGGAGACCTCCTGCCCCTTGGACACAATAGTCCCGACCATGCGTCAACCTGTTTGGTTTTGCCATGGGATGCACAGTGGGAATGCGGGAAGCAGAACAGGGAGGAGCTGCAAGAGTGAGAGCAGGGTTCGAGTCCCCTGGGGTCTCCCTCCTGGGCTCAGCGATGACTGAGCCTTCTGTGTGTGACTGTATCTGATCTCCCCCAGGAAGGACACCATCACCTAGGGTTAGAGCCCCACTCTGGTGGCCTTGTTTGGATTTGGTCACCTAATTTAAAATCTTTCTTTTCAGATACAGCCACACTGAGTTTACAACATGTAAACTTGACTGGCATTGGTCAGGCATGTCTGAACGAGGGATGCCATCATTTCAGGGCTACTGGATGTGGGAAGTAGATCCTGCCGGAGGGAGCACTGAGGTACAGGTGACTTGGATGGGCCGAACCTTTCAGCTCTCTCTTCCTCCTGATAGGCAGCATGCAGCCCTGGTTGCACACAGCAAATGACTTGGGGGAGGGAATGCGTGCTAGGTCCCACACCACCCAGAGATTCGAGTTTCACTTACCAGGAGAAAGCCAGGCACTGGATTCATTTGGAAAGTTTCTGGATGTTTCAAATGTGTGGTAGGGAGGAGGGCCATGACACTGGGCCCTGAGGTGAGAGCTGCCTCCTACCTAGCTTGTACAGTTCATATAAGCCTACATGGCCAGCTGGGTATCCCCACAGGGACCAGGGTGACAGGCTCCCAGCTGGTCACCAGCTTCCAGCACTTGTGCTCATGCATGCCTGCGTGGGCACACACACACTCCTCTCTGTTTTATGTCTCAGTCACATTATCTTTGTATTCTGAGGTTATTTTTGCTTTAAACACACTTCATGGCCTGAAAAGCTTGCTCGTAACCCCAGAGAAGCAGAGTGCAAGTATAGTGCTGCATATCCACAGAAAGGGACCACATTAGAAGGCATTCTGGAAGCTCCTTCTGGCAGTAATCTCACATATGTATTTAAGATTTGTTTATTTATTTAATAATAAGAGAGAAAAAGAGAACTCTTCTATTTACTGGTTCACTTCCCAAATGGGTACAGTGATTGACACCCTGGCCATCTGGGTCTCCCATGTGGGTTCAGGGTCCCAGGCACTTTGGCTGTACTCCGTTAGCTTCTTAGGCACTTTAGCAGGGAGCTGGAGGGGAAGTGAAAAAGCCAGGACTCGAACTGGTATCCGTATGGGTTGCTGTTAGTGCAAGCAATGGCTTAATCCCCTGCATCCCGACGCCAGGAACATAGGCAAGTGGTCAGCCCCAGAGAGAGGCCACTCACTCCACCAAGGCAGGATAGAGGCAGCCTGCAACCCAGGGGTCAGGCCACATGGAAGGTTTTGCCCTCTGAGGGTACTGAGCTAGGAAAGCTACAATTTGCGTCACCTGGGTAGATAGGGTCACATGTCACTGAGTGAGGGGGTCAGTAGATGTTTTAGTCACTGTGGGAAGGTTACAGTATGCACTCACAGGAGCATGGCTGCTGTGGGTGAGGCATTCTGCGTGGCTTGTCCATGCAAGCAAGAGACTCAGTGAGCAGGAGAGCCTGAGCTGCTGCCACTGCAACATGCACGCTGTCCTCCAAAAACTTCTAAGAGTTCATTCCAAAACAACAATCAATAGGTAGTGCAATGAATACACAACCCAGTGCCTTATTAGTGTTACTATGTATTACATAATATGTGTATTTTTATGTACTGGCAATGTAGTGCGTATCATACCAGAATCAGCACAAGCACATGAGGAATGCATTGCGCTAGGATGCTGCAGTGTCTTTTGTGTGTCACTAGGCAGTAAGGATG